TAAGAAGGCACGCTCGCGATTGCTAGCTTCAACTTCAAAAAGCAGCCCGTGTTGAGCGGGAGAAGGGTTGGGAGGAGACCAGAAAGCGGAAGGCTGCAGAGAAAGCCGAAAGAGAGCATTGTAGAAGCCTCCGCGACGCTGCCAAAGCTATACAATTGCCCCAATTGGGTAAGCGCAAAGCGTTAAAACCTTATAAGCCAGCTACAAAGCGTTAAAAGTGTGGTGGTGTTGCTCTAGCTGTGGTGGGAGCTGCAAGGGTTGCACGAGCTGCTCCACCGCGTAGTCGACGGCAACGACCGATAACGCCCTCTAAAAAAATTTCTAAATAAGCTAAAACTTTCGTAGGCCTGTATATAGTATAATCCTAGCTTTGCGCAATTTTATTACGATTTGTGGTGGCTCTATAGCCTCATCTTGTTGACTATATTAAGTTGTTGGGGGTGCTCAACTGGCGATGGTGCTCATCTGGTGCACGGGCACTGTAGCTAGCTAGCTAGCTACATGGCTATACCTGAGCAACGACATATCCAGTACCTCTACCTCAACTATTCGACAGCAAGTCTCGCGCACTCAAACCGCTTCACAGCGTAGCTATTCCATGTACTGACTTACTTGGTTGCAGGATTCCCGTGGCGTGATGGCCGGGCGCCGCGGATGCAATGCTTCCCCCCCCCTCCCCCCACTAACTAGCGGCAGCAAAAGTGCCGCCTCGACCGAGCATAGTTATCATGACTACTTGGCAGCCAAGAGAGATTCCAGCCGCGTTCCGGACCAATTGGATGCTTGCAAAGAGGCAGGCACCTTGCAGGTTTTAGTACCATGTGTATGTGTGATTTCGACATGGTGATTTCACGATGCAATAGGATACACAATAGGAAACTGCAGTAGGTGTACGGAGGTATGTTGGAAGAAAAGTATTACATTAAAAATACATCTAATTATCGCTGCTGTAAATACTCAGCACATTGGTCGAGTTCTTGTACTCGGGCTCGCAAAACTGCGTGAAGCCGCCAAAGCGCGTCTTCTTGTCCTGGATAAAGTCGTGGAATGCCTTTTTGGAGCAGCTGCCTCCCGGGCCGTCGGCGCACGTGAGTTGCTGCGGGTCCTTGTTGACGAGCACGCGGAAGTAGTCGTCGGCTTCGAAGCCGTAGCTGTCGCATGACATCTTTTCAATGGCAAAGTTGGACAGGAAAGGTAGGATCCTGGAGGAGCGCCAGACGCGGCCGTGGTTGGGACGGTCAAGCGGCATCGTGGCGTTGGGGTCGTTGGCGCCCGAGTAGGCACTGTTGTTGAACAGGCCCATTGCGACAGCAACGGTTGGAGGCAGCTCGCGGTGCGTAAAGGAGACGTACAGGTCTTGGTCGGCGTCGTCGGAGAGCAGCACATCGGCAGAAGCGTTGAGCCAGGGAAGCCCAAGGGTGCCCGCGAGCTGCTCGCTTGCGTATCCGGTGTTGTAAAAGTACATGATATCATTCATATACTCAAACGAAAGCCACTCGTCCTGGGAAAAGACATCGAGAGAGCAGAACGGCGACGAGCCGCGGATGACCGTCTCGTATCCGCACAGCTGCTGCATAGCGACAATGTCGCTAGCTGTAAAGTTGAAGCTAGGTGCATACGCATTCATGCGGCCCATAATGGGCTTGGTATACGTCTTTTGGAATTGCTAGCCACACGTCAGCAGTCTTCCTGCAGCGCACACTAGATACATACCGACGACTGTTTGCTGCCGTAAGAAGAGCTGTACTTGGGGCAGCCCTTGTACGGAGTCAGAGAATCCGCGCCGCGGGCAGCATCCTCGCGCACGGCAACGAGCTTCGTGTTGTTGCTCTCCGCAACCAGGCCGTCGATGAACGAAGACGTGCTGAGCTCTGTCCTCTCCGCCGTCGACGTCCACACCTTCTTGGGGTCCTTGAACGAGGGATACCGCAGGCGCACATCCACGCCCAGCTTGTACGACTCCAGCCTGCCAATCGACGTGAGGTCCTCGAGCTCCTCGTCGCTGATGGGCGACTGCCATTTGGCCAGGAAGCCCAGGGGTCCCGCACTGCGCCAGTCGGCCGTCGTGTTCTTCAGCTTGTCGGTGAACGGCTCAATGTACTCCTCGTAGTCAAAGTCGTTGGCGTAGATGGCGGCATGGCGAATCAGATACGCCGCCCGCGTGACATTGCAGCCCTGGGGGGGTTTGGGGTCGCTTTGGGGGTCCTCGAAGTAGGGCGCAATACCCGCCAGATGGCGCAGCGGGTTAAACGACGAGCTGGCGTAGACGGACGAACTGGCTACTGCACCAGCTGCGTTGGCGGCGACGAGGAGCGATACAAGGAGCGACTGCATGGTGAAGGTGTGGCTGTGGAGCGAGCCGTACCTGGCAGACAGCTGAGGCCCGGCTGCCTTTAATGCTGTGAGAAGCAGCGTGTGCTGTCATGGCGGCGCCGATCACATCCTCGTGTATACAGCAGAAGGGCAGCGAAAACCTGGCAGTAAAAGTCGTCGCAAAGCCTAATCGAGGCACAATGACGATGTTTCTCACACTCAACGCCGAGCTTGGACCAGCAGTCACGTCAGCCACGCCCCACGCACTGCCACTCTTCCCTGTTTCTTTCACGATGGCAATCAGCCCAGGCTTCTTTTTTTTGCATCGGCTTGCAAGTGCTAAAACACTGATATTCGGTTTGGCCCTATCCAACTGCTACACAAGTGGCTACTACGAAAAGAAAGAAAAAAAAAACACCTCGCCCTCTCCACACGAATATATAAAACACCAGGCGTGCGTAGCCACACACACCTTACTTCATTATACTACGTTTGCCCGGCGTTGCAGCATCTGCACCTTGAGCTCCAGGCCTTGACACTCGTTCTCCTTGCGGTGCAGATCTCTCATCAGAATCTCCTTCTCGGACCGGAGAGCCTGCAGCTTGCCTCCTATGCCCTCGCGGTAGCTGGCATGCTCCTCCAGCAGAGCCTCGATCCTGTACCAGTCCATCTGGACTCCGCCAGCAGGGGCATCGCCAGCACTCGACCGCAGCCGCTGGATCTCTGCGTCCTTGGCCTGGAGCTTGGCTTCTAGGTCGGCAACGGTGGCTCTCCACGCTTGATGGGCTGTCGTTCGGTTCAAGTCGTCGAGGCTGGTGTTCTGCGACCCCAGCTGCTCCATGAGATCCGAGTTTCTCCTCTCCAGCTCGAGGGCGCGCTGCTCCAGCGCTGCCACCTTGGCCGCAGTAAATAGGTCGGTAGTGTCGCGCCTCTCGATGAAGCTGGATATGCGTGTTCGGCTGGGGCTGCTGCGCCCCGTCTGTGCCTGGACTCGGTCCAGCTCTCTTGTCTTTTCCGCCAGCTTGAAGCGCACAATCTGGACGTTTTGCAGATCCTCGTCGCGCAGCTTCTTGGTGGCGTCGAGTTCGCGGCGGGCGGCTGCCAGCATTCCCTGTTGCATGTTAGTGACTGGCTTGTCGAACCTGATGTGGCTCTACTCACCCGAATCTTGATGTTGTTTTCGACGTCTTCGTCTCGCAGAGCCCAGATGGCCTCGTGGCGCTTCCACCATACCTTCTTCTCGTCTTCCAGGGCCTTTAGTCGGTTCTTCATCTCTGAAAACTCCTCGGGCGTGACGGATGCCGCGGGGTTTGACTGCTCAATTTGAATGAGCTTGGACATCAAGGCGGCGAGCTGCGACTCTAGAGGACCGGGAATGTGCGGTGCAGGAGCAGGAGATGCCGGCTCCGTGCCTGTCAGGCTCATCTTGATGACCGTTTGCACAGGCGTCTTGGTAGGGTAAGAGTCGTCGTCGGCCCCGCCGTCCAGCGTGGAGGATCGCGATGAAGCATCATCGTCTACAGGCCGTTGTTGCAGGTTTTGCTGGTTCTGGTAATGAATGGCTGCCACTTGGGGCAGTGGTGCAGCCTGGCTCTGCATCTTCTGCGCCATTAGGTTGGCCGGAGACCCTGCCTGGGGCCTGTTCCACGTCAACGGTGCTGTGTTGCTGACTCTGCTGGGGAACTGCTCGTCATCGGAGCCCATGTCGGACAGGTCGTCATCGTCGTAGCCCTGCGACTGCTGCGGCTGCTGACGAGGAGAAATCATGGATACGGGTCGGCTTGCGGTCGACTGAACCGACGCAATGGAATGAATGGAATGAGTACGGTGAGAAGCTGGCTTCGCACGGCTCGGTGTCCACATGGTATGTCGTCAAATGCAAAAGTGGAATGCAAAGAACTTCTTCTTTTGTCCTTGTTGTTGATGCACCTCTTTTTCTCCAGCCGCTTCACAGAAGCAACCTTTCACCAAAAATCCAACGCGCGGCGCCAAATGAAAGGAAAGTAAAAAATAATAATAATAATAATGCAAAAACGCAAGATATTAACAGTTATAAAGCGAAGACGCAGCCGTTCGAGAGAGGGGGGAATGCACACTCGATATAGCATGTGTTTGTGGAAACCGTCGTCCCTTTTTTAACCTTTTTCCCATCGTCAATTATGTGCTGTGATGCTGCAGCGCCTTGAAACCAGCCTGAGACGCAGGGGTCCCGCGCAGCGGATACTCTGCGACAGAAACGGCTGAACGACAAGTCCAAGATTGGCAAGCTCCAGGGGGGATTGAACCATGGTAGTCTCAGCATGAGATGAATCTAGGTTCCCTTTGCAACCCAAGATCGGCATTACGCGAATCCTAAAACTTCTTCTCTTGACCGTCGACGCGCGCGTGGTGCATGTGGTGGTGGTTGGAGGGGGGGGGGGGCGATCAACAACAAAGGGACGAGGCATATTTGGGTTTTACCGGGCTGTCTTTTTCTAGGTCTCAGAAAAAACTTCTTGGGTATATTTAGTGTCTGATATAGTGGTTTTACGTGGTGCACATACATACTTATCGCACACGGCTTATCGCCTTGTATAAAAGGGTTTTACTTAGTTGTTGTTGCGGGAGTGAACCATAAAAAAAAAGATAATGGATGCCGTACGTACTGTAACGACGGAAAAGCAAAAAAAAAAGAAAAAAAGTTCTGGGTAACTAATCACACACCCACTCACTCACATATCTCACGATCCAAGTTAAAAAAAAAAAAAGAATTTCCCTTCCCTTCCCCCCCCCCGCCCCCCGGATTCCATATACTCCGCTCGCACGAGTAGGACAAGGCGGCAACAAGTATTGGTATGGCTATGTAGAAGCCGAAGAAAAAGAAACGTTTCTCACAAGGAATGAGATTAGATGACGTCGGAATTCTATGTCTCACCCCCAAAGGCCCCAAAAAGGCAATGATCCGCCTCAAGAAAAGGTAAACTTGGTAACGCGCGCGCGCGCGACAGAGACAAAGGTATCTACGTACACCCAGCAAGCAACCACTTACACCTAACGCGCACCGTCCGCCCCTAGTTGCCGCAGGCGGGCGCAAAAGCCCAAGCCAACCTTGACCCTGAGGCTGAAACCCGCGGAGCATCAAGGCGGTATCAAACGCAACGATTAGGGCGCGCCTGTATCGCCCGCCCCCTTAGCGCGGGCGGAGTGCGAAAACGAGTGGGAAAAAACAAAAAGGGGGAGGAAAGAAAGGAATGAAGGAAGGGAAGGTAAGAGAGAAAAAAAAAGACGTGCAGAGTTAAAACCACGGGCTCTTGCATCTGCTGCCTCAGCCAAGACGTTCAAGGCTCGCTCTCGCGCTTTTTAAAATGACAAAGGGGTTTGCAAGGACGTTGTGGGGAAAGTGCCAGATCGATGAGTAAGGCTGACGGGACCAGGGCATGAATGGAGGGAGGGAGGGATTGGGGGGATCTTCCTTTTTCTTTCGTGCTGTTTTTTTATATCGGCGGCCCGGATCGATTGATTGACTGGCTGACTGGTTGACCGACTCTCTCCCGTATGGATGTGATATGGGGGGGATTGCGCAATGAGCCGTCGTTGGCCGGGTGTGACGGATCATGGGCCAAGTTGAGGTATCCCTGCGCATGGCCATGCCAAGTGCGTAAGCTAAGGTAAGGAAGAGACATCGAGACCGAAAGCGAGAGAGAGAGAAAGAGAGAGAGAGAGAGAGAGTGAGAGTGAGAGTGAGAGAAGGGTGGTGGTGATGGTTTAAGATGGTACCCTGGTACGTAGGTATACGTCCATGTGTGGTGTGTCCGAAGAAGGCGCAAAGAAGGTTCCACAGGTCCCCTTGATTTGTGCATAGCGAGGGAGGTAAAGGGAGAGGGAGAGAGAGAAAGAAAGATTATTTCTTTTCATTTACCGAGTCTGCAAGTCGCAGAAATGCAACCGAAGAAAGGGTTGCGTTGATTCAAACGGCTATGTTTTGAAGTCAAAAAATTCTCAACTTTCTC